ACAAGCTATATACAATACAGATACAACTATGTACAGAGCATTTAAAATTATGAATAAAACAATTAAAACTATGAACGAATCATTTGAACTATGAACAAAATTATATTTAAGGGTTGAACAACATAAACATACACTTTGAGAAATGAAGAACGAAAAAGAGATACAATGAGTTCATTTCATAAAAAAAAAAACTTTACTTGAATATATATATGAAAATAAACAGTTACTTATAATTGAATAAAAAAAAAAATACAAAAAAATGTATGTATTGAAATTCCTACGTCGATAGTAGGAAATGCATGTACTATCTCTTACCAAGTGATATGATTGCTACACAATACATATATAATATTAATCGTTAGCTGGTATCTGACTGTTTTTGGAACAGGAATTGGAATAGGAGGTTTTTGAATGTGTACAGGGAAGGGGCATGTCGAATTTTGATCGGGAGGGAATTCCAAAAGTTGACAGAGCGGGCTATAAAGGAATTTTGGAATGAGGCAGATCTATGAGAAGGGATGTATAGGTCAGAGGGTCGGGATCTTGTAGTGAGTGAATGGATTGAGGACTTAAATTGGAGAAGGTTGTAGGCATAAGAAGGACGATGATCGGTAATGATTTGATAAAGGAAAGTGCCAAGGAAATATTGTCTTCTTAAGGAGGGGAAGAGCCACCCTAACTCAGTGTAGTGGTGGGAGACACGGGAGCGTCTCGGGGTTCCGATTACAAATCTTACGAAGCAATTCATAAGTCTTTTGAGTCTATCACGCAGTTCCACCGAGAGGCCATCGTACACCACACAGCTGTAGTCAAAGTGGGGAAAGATGAGAGAGGAAACTAGGAGTCTACGGGTATTTTGGGGTAGAAGATGGCGGAAGTGATGGAATAGTTTGAGGGTAGAAATTGCACGGCGGGATATATGAGAGATATGGTGATTCCAGGAAAGGGTTTGATCTATGAGAAAGCCTAAATTTTTAACAAAGGGATAGAAGGTGATGGGGTGGTTGTTTAGATAGAGTGAGGGAAAGTTGGGGTGGGATCTAAGAAGGGGCTTGGAACCAATGAGAATGGCCTGAGTTTTGGCAGCATTTAGCCTTAATCCATTTAAGTTGGCCCAGGCATTAATTCGATCTAAATCTTCTTGAATTTTGGCAAATGCCACCAATAACTCAGCGGGAGAAAAGGATAAATAGATTTGAGAATCGTCGGCATAAAGGTGGTGGGAACAATGGATAATTGTATCATTTAGGTCATTAATATAAGAACTGAAAAGAAGAGGAGACATGCTTGAACCCTGTGCAACTCCTGAGGATAAAGGAAGGTAGGCAGATAGAGGTTGATTAGGTATGGAAACTGCTTGGGTTCGTTGTGAGAGGAAAGACTGGAACCAAGAGATGGAACTCTTGGAGAAGGATAATGATTTTAGTTTGTTGAAAAGGATGGAATGGATAATGGAATCGAAAGCTTTAGAGAAATCAAGAAGTATAAGAATGGTTAGTTTTTTGTCATCTATTGCAGTCTGGATATCACTAGTAATTTTAATCAGAGCAGATTGTGTAGAGTAGCCAGGACGGAAGCCAGATTGGAGAGGATCGAGTTGGTTGGATTGTTCAAGGAAGTTGGAAACTTGGGATTGCACCAACTTTTCTAGGGGTTTAGAAAGATTGGAAAGGATTGATATTGGGCGGAAATCTTCGGGAGAGGATGGATTAGGCTTTTTGTTTAAAGGAAGGACAATGGCTTTTTTCCAAGAGGTCGGGAATATTGAATTCTGCAGGGAGAAATTGTAGATGAAAAGGAGTGCTGGGAGGATTTCAGGGAGACATAATTTTATTAGTTTGATAGGAATGCCATCTGGGCCTACGGAATTGGAACGGGATTTCATTATAACGGTAATAAGGTCTGTGGGAGAAATGTCGGAAAAATAAAAATTATTGTCGTTAAAAGGTACCTCTGGAGAAAAGCCGGAAGGGGATGGTAACGAAGAGGTGGAAACCGATATAAAGTGGGAGTTTAGGTCATCAGGTGATATTGGGAAAACTGAGGAAGGGGATCTAGAAGGTTCACAGAGGGAAAGCTTACGAAGTAGAAGCCATTTTGATTTGATATCAGGAGCTGAGGAAAGGGCTTCGTGAAAGTAGTTCGCTTTCGCTTGTCGGATCCTTGTCTGTGTCGTGTTGCGAAGCATTCTGAATATTTGATAATCATCTGCAAGCCTAGTCCGTCTGAAGCGTCTGCGTGCAGCGTCGCGTCTCTTCTGCAGATCCTTAATTTCCTGACACATCCAAGGAGCAGGACGATGACGGAAAGTGGAGGTTTTGAGAGGAGCGTGGGTATTGAGTATATTGAGAAGATTGGTGGTGAGAATATCAACCATGGTGTCGACAGAGGAGCAATGATATATTCCATTTAAATCCAATGTTACTAGATCAGGTAATATTTTTTCTCGAGTAAGGGTATCCAGTTGGCGGAAAGTGATAGTTCGAGGATGGATTGGAGGAGTGCGGATATTATACGTTATTTGTATCAGATCATGAGATGAAAGAAAGGATACTGGCACTTGAGAGGCGGAGAGGAGGTTTTGTGCTGAGTCGATGATGTAGAAGTCTAGCCAAGTGTCAGATCTGCTGGTGTGGTGGGTGGAGGAAAAAGGAACGATGAATAGGTGAAGTGAGAAAAACAGATTTTCTAAATAGGATTTGTCATTGGATTTTGAGAGGAAATTGGTATTGAGGTCACCGGAGATAATTATTCTGGGATAGAGGGGAACGAAGTTGAATAGAGTTGATTCGAAGGACGGGTCAAATGGCACGAGAGGAGGGCGATATACCACGGCGTAAAGGATAGGAGAAATATTACTGAGAATTTCTACTAAGAGATATTCTACATGAGGATGATCGGAAGATGGGGAGCAATCGAGGATTCGGGTCTTTAGGCTATTGTGGACAAACATGGCTACTCCACCGCCAGTCCGGTTTACCCGGTCATGACGGAGCAGGATGTAATTCGGCAAGGATACTGAAGATGATGGAATATAAGGTTTAAGCCAGGTTTCGGATATTGCTATGATATGATAAAAGTTTTGGGTAAAGTATTGCAGGAATTCGTCATAATGGGCAGAAAGTGATTGAGAGTTAACTTGACATGTGATTAGGGAACTAGACATACAGTGGATTTGGAGAGAAACAGTCAGTGTTTGGTAGCGAGAAGACAAAACGAGTAGAAAGTACAGAAAAGCGATTATCGTACATGAAACTAAATGAAGAAAAAGTAATATTAACATTAAAAATAAATAAAGAGAATGTACTTAAAAATAAATAGATTGGTGAGTGACGGTGTCGAGATAGCACTAAGAGAAGAAGTAAGACTATTTTAATGAGGCTAAGGGGTTGACGGCTTCTAGGTAGTCAGTCAAATACATCTAGATCCGAGGCCTGTTCTATCAGGATGACTCTATGTCCGTCCTCTTTTCGACACCGCACCTTTCCGGAAGCAAACCACGTATATTTGATTTTTCCCGCCGCTCTCTTCTGCCGGGCTAACCAATAGAGGTGTCTGTTTGTGCGAGTCATCTCTTCACCCAGATAAATTCGGTGGCAGTCATTTTCCTGCCAACCGATATCCCGCGTGGAGAAATCCCTCTTCACTTTCCTTTTCGTAATTAAGTCATCTCTAATTGATTGCCTGACAAAACGTGCGATAACAGGCGGTGGTCGCGAGTCATCTTTTCGGCTTCTGCGGCGATGTACGTTGTCCAGGTCCTCCACACTAAGCCTGATCCCCAAGCTTGCTCCTATACTGGTCACCAAAGCAGCGGGCGTTTCGCCCGGTCGCTCCGGTATACCGCGGATCTCCAGTGATCTACTCAATAGTCCTTGCTCTGCGTTATTCAAGCGAACCTCTAATTCGCCCACTCGGGATTTGAGTGCTTTATTTTCTAATAGTATCTCCTCAAATTTTTTAGCTTGACCTTCCAGATGTTTTTCAATCTTCGTCAGTCTTTCGTTTAGTTCAAAACTGAGCTCTCCGTATTTATCTAGTGCTGTTTTCATGTTTTTTATATCTTCGTTCACGGTAGCGTCTAAACGGTTTACTGCCGCAAGTATTTCTGAGGGGGACGGCTCGTTATTTTGTTTTTTCACCTGTTCGCAGTTAGAGCAAACCCATGTTTTTTTAATTATTTTTAATGCTTCGGAGTCTTTATCAGTAAGGTTGACGCACCTACCATGAAAAATTATTTTACACTTAACGCAGTGTATATTGTTCTTATCTTCGCGTGCGATAGAGTTGTTGCAAATATTACACTGCACCATTTTTTAAATTTATTAATGAGAATTACTTCGCAATTAAAATATAAATAAATACCAAGACTGTTGACGGTAGTAAACAACGTCTAATGCTGGTCTAATGCTGTTAGGATTAGTAGACGCCTGCCAGCTCGTTGCTCCCAGAACTCTATCAATCTCGCTGCGCTTTCTTTACTCCGATTGGTGTGAAGATCCGACACTTAATAGCGTGATTAATAATAGTGTTTTTTTAAAAAAGAGAAGAAAAAAAAAAAACTGAACTTAACTGCACTGAAAATTAAATTGAAGTAAACTGAGAGATTATATGAACGAATTACACCGATGTACACACCAGGGCGTCTCAGGCCAGACTGAATATATCAGAAAATTCATTGATAGTTAACATTGCATATAGTTTTTTTTAATATAATATTGATTTAAAATGTAGTAAAGTTGTCTTTCTATTCTATTTTAATAGTCTTGAGATTATTAATTCTTTGTAATATGACATTATTTTTTGGATTCTGGAATATAATTTCTTCAAACAACTAATTATTAAATAGACAAATACTGTTAAAGTTACTAACAGTATGATATTATTTTATAAAGCATGATACTATTATTTTGTATTATAGTCCACACTAAATTTTTGTTTTGTTATTTATAATTGAATTAATTATATAAATGCAACTATCTTAAGCATGAATTTATTACCTGTTGCTTCATCAAGTTTTTCCACTACATAGTTTTCAATAGGACAGCCCCCATCATCATCTGGTGGCAACCATGACAGTTTACATCCCTCAGAATGAACTTCTGAAACTTTTAGAGGGCCATTTGGTGCACCAGGTTTGTCTAAAAACATAAAATTAGATTATTATCAATAATAAAATAAACAATAACTATTAATTTAATTAATATGTTGTATTTACATAAATTTCAATTGGTATTATTAAACATGATTGTATATTGATTATAGTGTTAATTTATCAAGCTGTGGAAAAACACTTGGACTGTAACTAAAAGATACTTTATCTTCAGGGTATGATGGTGTGAGGGTGACACTAAAGAAAAAATTAAGCACACAGATCTATGGTGCAGAGACACACAAGAGCTACAGAGAAATACAGGCATAAGAGACATGATGTTTTATCAAAATCTTGATGAAGGAATATAAGCCCAATTCAAGTGCCTAAATTGATCAAAATAGAACTCTCCTGAATTATCTTTCAGGCTGCATAACAAGGAGCTTCATCCTTATCAGGGCAGCTTTTCTAAATGAAAACTCAATTCCGATCAAATAGGTGAAAATAACAAGACTCATCATATTTGATATTACTTTAATTCTGGAGCTCTATTATTTATTCTCATGAAAAGGTCGTTTTTGAAAATTTTAAAAGCTATATATCTTTTAGGATCTGGTCACAATTCGTGGTACAGACCCTTTTAATCAAATTATTAATATCCGCCTAAAACTTCGTAAATAGCTTCATATCATCGTAACCTACCAATATTTAATTTGCAAAAATTCTTGGAATTGGGGCATTTTCAATTTGGAGATTGGCAAACTTTTTCCTTTAAATTAGATACTAAAAACCCATGAATACCTTTTTACTTTTCATTGAAATTGTAAGATAATATGACCTCAAACTCAGATGAAAAGGTGACCTACAAAAATATTGGTCTGTTTGTTGTGATCTCCGCCCCCAAAATGTCAAAACAATAAGGTTATATTGGCCAAATGGCCCAATATTTTTTAAGACCACTTTATGTTTTCTTTTTTGTGATCTTTTTATGTTACGATTCAAGTGGAAAGCAAATGGGTATTCATGAGTTTTTAGTACCTAATTAAACAGACAAAGTTTGCCAATCTCCAGATTGAAAATGGTCCAATTTCAAGAAAATTCGTAAACAAAATATTTGTAGGTTACGATGAGATGAAGCTATTAACAAAGTTTAAGGCGGATGTTAATAATTTGATAAAAAGGGGTCTGTACCATGGACTATCAATTATTAATTAAACTTTAGATTTTGATATATAAATATTAAGCATGATTATTTATTGCTAGAACAGTTATTCTAAACAGAAGAAATGTTATGAATGGAAAGAGATTGTAGAATGCTCTTTAATATTGTTTATATAATTATCATTATTCTGTCATGTGTATATAGCTTTAAACAATTATTATTATTCTGTAATATGTATTTAACTAAAAAAAAAATATTATTATTGATTATAAAAGGTGACAACCAGACAGATGCACAAAAAACCAATTCATACAAGTTAAAAAAAAAAAAGAGAGAATAACAAAGATTTTTAATCTATTGATTTTTAATAATGAATTTGGAAGATGTACATTTTATTTTGTTTAACAATAAATATTCTATCCATATATCTATTTATATATACATCTTGAATTTTCGTCAACAATTGGCTAAAATTTCAACCATTTCATGAGAAATTCAATAATTCAAGTAAACCTAAAAAAGCTATTAAAATAATTATCCATTAAAGAACAGTAAGAAATACATTACCTAGGACTGTGACTTTAACTTCAGCAATATCTTTCCCATTAATATTTTCAGCAATGACTTTATATTTTCCTGAATCTTTTCTACTTGCCATGCGAACACTAATTTTAGTGCCATAATCAAAGTGTGAAACTTTAACATTGCCCCTTGAAACTATTTCCTGTGTACCATGAAGCCAGGATGTTGTAGGCATAGGTTCACCACTTACTTTTACATTAAATTTAAATGCCTGGCCAGCTTTTAAGATTATATCATCTAATGTTGAACGATCTATTTTTGGAGCCATATTTCTTGGTTTTGTTATGATAACAGGAGTTGGATCACTAGCTTCACCAGGCCCTGCAGCATTAACAGCTCTGACTTGAAACTGGTATGATTCTCCTTCTGTGAGATCTGGCACAGTAGCGGAAGTTTGAGATGCAGGAACAACAAGGGCCTTTTCCCAATTTCCATACTTATCTTTTTTCTCAATTATGTACTCAGTTATTGGTGATCCTCCATCTTTCACTGGAGGACTCCATTTAAGATCAACATGATCTTTATCCCAATCTGTTGCTTCCAAATCTTCTGGTTTACTCGGCTCATCTAAAAATGAAAGTAAATATAATTTATTGTGACATTATACCCCAATAATGAAAAGATTTTTAATTAATCAAATACAAATAATTATATAATTTAAATAATATCATAATTCAAATTCAATTTTGGCAGTGGGATAAGGACCAACCTAACACCAACCCATGCACCACACTTTAAAACAAATAAAATAAATCCGTTTCCTATGGGACTGGCCATAATGATGCATCAACCCTGGTTCTTAGCCTCGAACCAAACCAAAGAGTTGTTTCTACAATTCTTTTAACCCGGACCATTGCACAAGCATTTTTGGACCATTGCATCAAGGCCTGAGAATGCTGAGATTTATATAAATATTTTTATATTATGCCATTTTCACTACAATCAATATTAAATTTATTTAATTGTTGTGATACTTTACAAATACTAAATTATTTGTAATTTTTCTAATAAAATATCAAATTTCAATTTCTTAAATATTTAATTTTTGTACTACTAATGTCTTGTGTTGATCCTCATGTTATTATGTTGATTATACTGAATTTTATTATTTATATCACAGTTGTTAATTTCATAAAGTTGTAAATTTTAATAAATGAGAGAAAGTATTTGAAAATAGAGTGACAACAGAAAGACAAAAAAAAAAAAAAAGACTGAAATTAGAGTTTTCTACAACAATCAAGAGAACACAAAGTATTTCAAATATTGTTTAAATTAATTAATCATACTTTATTGGAAACTGACATGGATGTGGACAAAAATCAGTAAATGAGTTTAAAAATTTGGTTTTGGCATTTTAGGAAAGGGGAAGGATATTACCCAGAAGTAACTGCTGGTGGTCTTTAATAAGTTTTACTAATAAATGTACGTCTATTTTATATAATTTTCCAGGAGACACAAAAACCTAGGTCACTAAGGAAAATAAGAAAAAATGACAAAATGAGAATTAAAATCAAAGACTATCCCGATTGTAATTATTAACAATGTTCCAATTTGTTTTTGTATTTAAGAGATTTTCTCATTCCACTATCAATATGAAGTTAAGGGTATAAATAATTTTTTTATTGTTGTTTCTCATCCTAAGTCTATTTCGATTAAATTTGAATTTCTTCACAGGGCATATAGCGATCACTACTGTTAAAGACAGCCTGAGATTGATTATAGAGAATGTGGTCATTATATATAACCAATATGCTTTCCCAACAATGATCTGCTATAATGATGGAATTTACTTAGTCCCTTTAAGGTTGTTGTAAACAATATCTAGTGAACACGTTTATGTATCTGTTGGTGTATGTGCATAGGTTTGAAAATGAAAACATAATTTTTAAATCTTGTTTGACTTTGGTAGCAATGCTTAGTAATTAGTATAATTAGTAAATTTATACTTACCATATGGATTCTTAGCAATAATGGATGTATCAGTTTCTAATGGCTCTGATTCACCTTCAGAATTTACAGCAAAAACTCTAAAAGAATACTCATTTCCAGGAGTGAGACCAGTAACATCCAAATCTACAATTTGATAATAATTTTTAAAAAATTCTCAGTAAGTTTTTAAAGTATTTTCTCATAAGCTAAAACATTGTTGTCCTTAATTATAAAAATCTATTTAATCATAAGATAAATCTAATTATATTTAAGACATTTGTAACAAATTATCATTTTTGTTCAAATACTATATTAAACTTTATTATGATAGACAAAGGGTATACAGTAATAATACATGATAAAAAATATATACAAATAACTTTAATATAATAACTTAAAAGGAACTAATACAATAACTACACTGCTATTTTAATGAAACAAAAGTAATGATTGAGTTCTAATGAATTTTAATTTCCAATTAAATTTATTGTAAGCATATGGATAATGTCTATGATATTGTTAGGAAGTATAACTAACTTGGTTCAGTTGAACGTCCACAAGGGACCCATGTTCCTTTACTGTGGTCATATTTTTCAACTGCATAATATTCAATAGGAGTTCCACCATCATCTTTTGGCCTCTTCCATTTCAGATGACACCCATCTTTATGTACATCAGATACCTGTCAATATGTGTTGTTTTAAATAAATGTTATAAATATCAATATCATAAAATTAGAGCAATGCTCTCATCAAAAATATTTTGTATTTGATAATTTTTATGGGATAATAGAAAGAATGTCATATATTTTTTTACAATGATAGACATATAGTTGTAAATGGTCACTTTGATTATTAAGAAAATCAAGCTTAATTTATAGTTTCACTTTTAATAATTCAATATATATTCAAGCCAAAAATCTTGTAGCCACGTAAGTATTAAAATTTAGACATAAAGTATGAGATAAAGTATTCAATTGTTTGCTAAAAAATATTCTGAAATTAAAAGTAGAGGAAAGAATTAAAATTAAATCAAACTATTTATATATTTTTTAAAATATTTTGCAAACTAGTTCAACATGAAAAGTTTTGTCCTCCTACAATATTTACTTCACATCTAGGAGGAAACGATATAGTTGGACCATTGGAGAATATAAAAATCTTTTGTGAAATATATTGATTTAAAAAAAATGTAATTAATTTCTGGCAAAAACACCAGTTCTAAATCATTAAAAGAGATCAATTATAATGATAAAATATACCTGTAATGGACCCTGAGGCTGTGATGGTTTATCGGTTACTACCACTTGGACAGTAACTTGATCTTTTCCTGAGCTATTCGTAGCGGTAACAACATATTCTCCAGAATCATTTCTTGTTACTGGTCTTATTGTAAGCTTTGTATAGTAATCTATATTTTCAATTGTAACAGTCTTACTATTCCTAAAACATTCCAAATTTGTTGTACAATTTTAAAAAATATGTTTAGTACTAAAATGGAGGTTTGGCAATATATCTATAAAACTTAATTGGATTTGAGATAGAACTAATATATTGCAAAAATAAGACAGTTAAAATCTAATATAAACAATTTTTTAAAATTAATTTTTCATAATTCAGAGATTTTTCATTAATTTTGACAAAAAAATATGTGAAACAGCTATTAAAACATCAATAAAATTGTTCATATTAATTTATTAAAGGCATAATAAGTGCATTTAAAAAAGGAAAGTATTTTATTAACTGTAATAACTAAATAGTTAGGCAATAGCAGGAATCTTTTAATACAAATTTACCTTATTGGATTCAAAGAACATCTCCACTCAACTGTTGGAGGAGGTTCACCAATGATATTAGCATCAAATTTGAGCAAAGAGCCAGCAGAGAGTGTGATATCCTTTAAATTCCTTCTATCAATTCTAGGAGCAACTGCAACAAAATTAGATTGATGATTAAATAAACTAATACTACAAAAAAATACAGGTATGCTTTTGTACATACTTATGCTTTTTCATATTCAAACATTCATAGATATGACATTATAAGTTAATAGTTACATTGGATATGTTATCTTTTGTACTTCTAGTAATGATTCACATACATATAGCTAATAAACTATTAATTTTTTTGAGCAAGATTCAACACATAACAAGTTATAATTATGTATTTGATCTTCAATATTTTTAAATAGTTTATAATGATTTTTTTTAAAACTTTAATGAGTTATAATAAACATAACAGTTTATGGGAAGTACAGTAAAACTTCTCAGAAGCGGACACCTATAGGAAATTAAAATTTTCCATTATAGAGAAATATCTGTATTGGAGAAACTGGAAATAAAACATGATAAAAAATAAAAATTAGTATATTGAAGTTCTATTTTATAAGACGTATAAATGAATGCCTTTAAATAATTTTAAGAACATTATTATTTTTAATTTTACAATTAAAATGTATTTGTACCGTAAAAAAATGTGTAATGTAAAAAATAATAAAAGTGCTCATATAAAATATAGGCTTGTGTATGTGTAATTTTGTTTGAACTTTTGGGTGCTTAACTATTTTTTTTCAAAATTTGCAAAAATGTACAATTTACTCACTGTTTTCCTTCAAAATGAAAAGTTTCTGAATTGTAACATTTATTGAAATAATTAACATGACTTATCATCAACATTTAATGAACTATTTTCAAAAATCTTTTAATAATTTCTAGGCAAACTAAGTTCACTCGGAAGATTCATAGACCAGGAAAAATGTATTGTCTTGCCACAATTGCAGTGCAAGTATAATTGTTCAAAATGGTTAAGTGAATGTAGGAAGATAAAGCCTGAAGTTGTAGAAAATTACTTTTTTGCATTGACTTTTCTGTTTTGGGCCCACTGCCCATACAGTTCTCTCTTTCTTTATAATTTCAAATACCTGTTTTTCCAATTTTAAATCGAGTGGCTAAATTGTGAGTTCTTGGGTACACCAAATTTTAATCGATTTCAAGCAGAGAATGTGTGGCTAGGAGTCCTGCTAAACCTGACAAGATTGAAAGATAGGGGAAAAGGAATTGAATGGAAGGAAACTAAGTCTCAGGGAAGAGTTGGTGGAGCTCTACGAGAAGAGTTTGATATGACAGGCGGACTGAGACAAGGTGACCCACTGTCATTCATAATAGTATTTAACCTGGCCCTCGAAAAGACGATTAGAGCCATTAGAACCAACATTGGAGAAAATATTTATAACAGGCATAACCGGCATATGGCATATGCAGACAATGTAGCCAACACAGTGCACACATTATCAATCCTTTCAGGAGTGTTAGAAGATTTTGAAGCAGCAGCAGAAGGTATGGCTTGAAAATAAATGAACTAAGATGGAGTATTTGAGGACATCTAGAATTCAAGCAGATCAGAAAGAAGTGCAAATTAATGGCCACAAATTCAAGCACTGCAATTGCTTATCTCTATTGCTTATGCATCTCTAGTAACAGAGGAAAATGATATAAGTGTAGAGATCGAAGTCAGAATAGCAACTGGTAGCAGATATCTTTTTGTACTGAATAATGTAATGTACTGAATAAATAATGTACTGAATCCATGCATTGTCTTGATCGGCAGAAATCACCATAAACAAAATGATGATAACTCCAGTGGTGACATATGGAAGCCAGTGCTGGTTAATCAAAGCCAGAGCAAGACTGTCCTGAGGGTTTAGGAGAGAAAGATACTCCAAAAGATATTTGGTCCAGTAAACCAGAATGGAAACTGGAAAATCAGAAAAAATAGAAAGCTCGAACAACTCTTTGGCGAACCTAATAATACGGCCATCATCAAAGAAGAAAGAATGCAGAGGCTAGGCCATATTTAAAGCATGCCAGCTGAGAGGCTACCAAAAAAGATTATGAATGGCAGTTTTAGGCAGTTGGATGACCTGGAGGATGATAAGAGATGGATAAGAGTAAGTGGATGGTGAAGAAAGATGGAAGATAGGCAGGAATGGCTATTAATTCTAAGTGAGGCCAAATACTAGGGCTATAGTTCCATTAGTTAGTTAGTTGGCTAAATTGTGAAAACTAAGTTTTTCACATACATTCATTAATAATGTAATTTTTTTTTTTTTTGAAAGTTGACCAAAAGGGAGTTGACAAGCTTATAATCAAATTTTTAGAACTAATATCAAAAGATTAAATATGTAATACCTAATTCAAAACTGGATTCCCAGTACACACAATTGAACTAAGCTACTATAAATTGGTTAAATGTTCTCAGAATAAGAGCTTCACTGGCTTCCTGCTGACCATTTTTTAGAAACTTTTTAATCAAAATCCTTGCATCAAGTCTGTGGACATTCTTTATAGAGAACATCCTTTATGAAGAAGTCATTTATATTGTAAAATTAATTAAATTAGATGGAGAGTATAAATTTGTCTGCTAACGTAAAGTGTCCACTACCGGATGTTTAACTGTAATATTACATCTGAAAATTTTTAAAAATTAACTTACGATATCTTGGCTTAGCTATGAAGGTCTTGCTGGGTTCACTGGGTTTACTTTGACCTGCTTTGTTCAGAGCTATAACTCTAAATTGGTATTCATTTCCTTCAACCAATCCAGTCACCAAAGCTTGTGGAGTGGGTGTTGATGTTTCTAGGGCTTTTTCCCAAATTCCACTATTAAAGAGAAAGAAAATAAATGAAAATTCAAGTTTGTATAGATGTAATGTTAATATAAAAAATTCAATAGTTGACCGTTGCATTATAAAGGAAGAGATTTTAATGAGGGTGCAAGATGAAAGTTATTAAACCGGTACTCGATACATTTGGGGAAGATTTGGTTTGATCTGCATTTTAAGAGAAAAATCCGTTGCTCTGTTTTTATAGTGAGCTGTTTGTGGAGCTGTTAGAGTTCCAAGTGAAACTCCTAGCTGAACACACCTCCATGAAGAAGATCTGCAAAGTCGGGTCGAAACTTCGGCTTTTAATAAAATAGTTTTATCACTATTCAGCCTATTTATGACCGTCACCCCAGACCATCTTCTTCTATTATTAATATACTATATTCTTTCAAACCTAAAATATTTGATATATAAATATATATATATATATATATATATATATATATATATATATATATATATATATAATATATATATATATATATATATATATAGAGAGAGAGAGAGAGAGAAATATATACTTTCTTGACTGTTAATAATATATGTTGGTTCAGGATATTGAGGTTCAATTAATAAACAATATTTCGCTGAGTTTCAAGACTTTATTGTTCTAATATTTATGCTCTATTCAGAATAATCATTGAACAATCACTCCTAAAGAGCAGAATGCAAAACTGCCCCAGAATAGGACAGGAAAAATTCAATTACAATGATGTGGAGCCACCAGATTATAAAGATTTTCTGGATTTAATGACTGTTCTGAAGAATAACAGAAGTCCTTGTCTGGATATTATAAATGCAGAAATGGTGAATAATTGCAGAGAACCTATGCAGAAAGAAATCAACAACTTAATGATGGAGGTCTGGATTAAAGAACAGATGCCTAAAGAATGGACTACTTCTGTTATATGCCCTGTTTTTACAAAAGGAGAAATCAAACTGCAACAATTATGAAGGCATATCATTGTCAAATATGTTATAAAAAGTTTTTGCAGTTCAGTTAAATAAAAAAGTTCAGTTTCAGTTTGAAAAAAAGATTTTAGCTAAATACCAGTGTGGTTTTAGACCAACTATAAGAACTATAGACCACATTTTCTCAATAAAGCAAATGTTGGAAAAAAAATTTGAGGACCAAATTAGCTAACAACACATTTTTACAGACTTTAAATAGGCATATGATACTATAAACATGAAGAATTACTTAAGACAACGATAAAATTGGAGATTACTCCAAAACTGGTCACTTTGACAAGAATGACGCTAAGTGGTAGCAGATCTGATAAGTGGTGGCAGTCAGTGAGGGATGACCTAGTTCTGAAAAGAAAAGTAAAAAGGGACTTCTCAACACACGGTATCAGCTAGTAAGAAAATGACAACCACTGAGTTTACCTCAGCGAAGAGATGACCCTCACAAATAGGCACATTCACTGGCTTGTCCAGCAGAAGAAATTTCCTTTCTGACTCCAGCAATAAATCATATCTTGAAAATCTTTTTTTCTCTCTTCATCTTTTTATCCCACTTATCACACCTCCAGGTCCGACAATTGGTTGGACCTGTACATTATCAACTCTGCTCAGAACCTCCTTTTCTCTTTTCAATTACCAGCCTCCTATTTATCTTCTCAAGAACTAATCCAAATATCATATAATATTCAAACCCCTCCAATCCTATCTAGAACCATAACTTTCCGTAACCTTCATACCCTGACTTGGGAAAAAAATCTTACCCAACCTGGAAACCCTAGACTGGAGTGGAATATAGATAGAAGATAGAAGAATCAACTTTATTCTGGGACTACGTCCCTTGAGAATAACAATATTGTACATAAAATTAAACATTACATCTGGCCAAAATGTATATTACAATAAACAAAAACAAACAAACAAAAAAAACAACTAAAAAATAAGGGATAAAAGAAGTATTTACATAACTGTACAGATATAGGAAGCCATAATATGAGAAATAAGGTCCTAATACTGCAAAATAGTTGCTATACACAATACGCTTTGAAATTATAAATGAGCGACAAATAATAATAAAGATGTTATAGTAATAGTAGTATGTTCGAAGAACATAATAGTATAATCGAAATACAATAATAGTGTAATCGTACATACACAATATATAGACCCAATAATACAATAATAGTGAGAATACAATAATAGTACAATAGTATATATACAATATACATATATTAATATATATATACATATACATAAATACACATATACATATATACAATACAACAATAGTATAATAATACAATATAGGCTACCCAGCTTCTGATTGAATTGTAAGGAGGAATTGGAAAAGGAGGGTTTTAAATGTGGATAAGGATGGTGCATGGCGGATTTTAAGTGGGATGGAATTCCAAAATGTGGTGAATCGGACAATAAAGGAGTGTTGAAATGAGGCCGATTTGTGGAAAGGGGTATAAAGGTCGGAAGGACGAGATCTTGTGGAGAGGGAGTGGATAGATGACTTGAATTGAAGGAGATTGAATACGTAGGACGGACGATGATTATAGATTATTTGGTAAAGGAATGTACCTAGGAAGTATTGTCTTTTGAGGGAGGGGAAGAGCCACCCTGACTCGGCGTAGTAGTGGGAAACATGAGAACGTCTCGGGGTCCCATTGACAAATCGTACTAAGCCATTCATTATTCTTTTCAGTCTGATTCCAAGTTCCGATGAGAGGCCACCGTACACTACGCAGCCGTAGTCAATGTGGGGGAAGATGAGGGCGGATACTAGGAGTCTACGTGTGGATATGGGTAGGAGATGGCGGAAGCGATGGAAGAGTTTCAGGATGGAAATTGAACGTCGGGATATGAGGGAAATATGGTGATTCCAGGAGAGGGTTTGATCTATGATAACACCTAAGTTTTTATCTGAAGTGTTGAAGGTGATGGGTTGGTCATTCAGGTACAGGAGAGGAATGTTGGTATTTGATCTGAGAAGGGGTTTGGAACCGAGGACAATGGCTTGGGTTTTAGCAGCGTTTAACCTTAATCCATTTTCACTTGCCCAGGCACAAATCCGATTTAGGTCTTCTTGTATTTTGGCAAACGCTTCATGCCATTCAGAGGGAGCGAAGGAGAGGTAAATTTGGGAATCATCGGCATAAAGGTGATGTGAACAGTGAAGGATTGATTTATGAAGGTCGTTAATATATGAACTAAAAAGGAGAGGAGATATGCTGGAGCCCTGTGCCACTCCTGAGGACAGAGTTAGATAGGATGATAAAGGTTGGTTCGGGATAGAGACTGCTTGGGTACGTTGAGAGAGGAATGATTGAAACCAAAGGATAGAGCTGTTGGAAAAGGATAACGATTTCAATTTGGAGAAAAGGATGGAATGGTTAATGGTATCAAAGGCTTTGGAAAAGTCCAGGAGGATAAGGACCGTTAGTTTTTTATCATCTATGGCTGACTGAACATCACTAACGATTTTGATTAGGGCGGATTGTGTGGAGTAGCCTGGTCGAAAACCAGACTGGTAAGGGTCAAGTTGATTGGACTGTTCTAGGAAGTTGGAAATTTGGGATTGGACTATTCGTTCTAGAGGTTTTGCAAGGTTAGACAGGATTGAGATTGGACGGTAATCTTCAGGGGAAGAAGGGTTAGGATTTTTAAGTAAAGGACGGACAATGGCTTTTTTCCATGAGGAAGGGAATATTGCGTTCTGAAGGGAGAAATTGTAGATGAAAAGTAGAGCGGGAAGGATTTCAGGTAGGCATAATTTGATTAATTTGACGGGAATACCATCTGGACCAATGGAATTGGAATGAGATTTCATGACGGCGGATATGAGGTCTGTAGGAGAAATATCTGAAAAATAAAAGTTGTCGTCGTTAAATGATATTCCAGGAGTAAAGAAGGAAGAGGTTGATGGAGGAATGCAGGAGGAAGCTGATATAAAATATGAATTTAAATCATCAGGTTTGACTGGAAAGGCTGCTGAGGAAGGTGATCTGGAAGAGTCACAGAGGGAGAGTTTACGAAGGAGTTGCCATTTGGTTTTGGAATCAGGAGCTGCTGAAAGGGCTTCGTGGAAATAGGAGGATTTGGCTCTTCGGATATTGGTTTGTGTCAGGTTACGGAGCACCCTAAACGCTTGGTAGTCGTCAGCGAGCCTAGTGCGTCTAAAGCGTCTGCGGGCTGCATCGCGTCTCTTCTGAAGATCTTTAATTTGCTGACACATCCAGGGAGCCGGGGGGCGACGAAAGGTAGAGGTTTTGATGGGAGCTTGGGAATCAAGGATATTAAGGAGGTTGGAAGTTAAAATATCAACCATAGCGTCAATACATGAACAGGAATATATTCCATTCCAATCAAGGGTTTCCAGGTAGGGTAAGATTTTTTCACGAGTGAGGACATCAATATTACGGAAAGTTATGGTTCTAGGTAGGATCGGAGGAGTATGGATATTATATGAAATTTGAATTAGGTCATGAGAGGATAAAAAGGAGACCGGTACTTGTGAGGAGGAAAGGAGGTTCTGAGCGGAGTCGATAATGTAATGGTCCAACCAGGTATCGGACCTGGGGGTGTGATGAGTGGGCGTAAAAGGAACAATGAAAAGATGAAGAGAGAAAAAAAGGTTTTCGAGGTATGATTTATCGCTGGAATCGGAAAGGAAATTAGTGTTTAGGTCTCCGGAGATGATTATTTTGGTATAAAGAGGAACAAAGTTGAAGAGGGATGATTCAAATGATGGATCAAAGGGAACAAGAGGAGGTCTATACACTACGACATAAAGGATAGGAGATGTACCAAAGGAAATTTCAGCGATTAGGAACTCTACATGTGGGTGATCGGATGGAGGAGAGGAGTGGAGTATTCGGGTCTTCATGCATTCGTGAACATACAACGCTACACCTCCGCCAGTCCGGCTCGTCCGGTCGTGGCGGATTAGTGTGTAGTTAGGAAGGGAAACAGATGAGGAAGGGATGTAAGGCTTGAGCCAGGTTTCGGAAATTGCAATGATATGGT